ATCAACGAAATCAAGTAACCACAAGCTTTTGAGGATGGGACGCTACGGCGTTGAACAACTATTTTTATATCATGTTGTAATCAATCATTGAAATATGTAACACTTGAAACCATTTAATTCTTTTTCGATTATATTTATGATTGGTTGTATTGTTTTGATCAATATTATACTTGTTGTTATGATACTATACATGAAGTCCGCCACCCCCGGACGTTTCCGCCATCCTTGGTTTGGGGTTGTGACATAGAGTCTGCGAATGATTAGCCCATATTCATATTCTCATTCTTTTCTTTTCTTTTTTTTTTTTAAATATCTTTGGGCCGCAATGCATTTTCTGGTGAGTGGTGCTTGTAGCGAGCTACCATTGAGTTGCTTATTGGTGGAATTTGTCTTGTAAAGTTATAATATTTTGTTTTGTTGGAGCGGCCCAAAATCGTGAAGGAATAAACTTGAAAGCTACCCAAAATAAATATGAGTCCAAGTTATCAGCCCATTTGTGGATTGGAAGGAGCCCACATCGCGAGCCTTGTGTATCGTAGTTATAAGCCCAAATGCCAATTTCAGCCAATTTCATTAATTTTTTTTTTTTATTTTTGAGAACGCACTACTTAGTCATCCACAAGTTGCTGACTGATGGCACTTTGGGTTTTGTTTCGGTCCCCGATGAACTACTTAGTCAGAGTTGAAGGTTGCTGGTAATGCTTGAGTTCTGTCAATCCACTGGGTCAATTGGTGTTGAAGGTGGTTGAGATGCAGGTCCGATGGTGACAATGGGTGTTTTGGAGATGGTTGGCTAGCTGTGGAAATGACCGTCGATTCTCGGGGATGTTGTCGATGATGGGTTGTTGCTCAGCGCGTGTTGGTTCATCAAGAGAGATGCATTCGACTTCCAAGGGAGAGCTGGATCAAGGTGGGTCCCACTGTGGCCTTATTCTTTTCTGCCAACTGTTGAGTCTTGTATGTACTATATGGGGCTCTACTATCTCCCCTCTTTATTTTCCCTTTTATCTGTCGGCTAGAGAGGGACAAACTCTTCCCAAAAACATACTTTTTAAGATACAATTTGTTGAGATAGAGAGTTGTAAACTGTAAACTGTGAAAATGGTAGTGTTTGTGTAATTTTTTAGGCATATTCGGCTGTATTTTGGTGAAAGGGATAAACGGGTTTTGTTGTTGTGACTATGAGCTATTTGGTTTTGTTTCTATCTCTTTTTACATTCACTTTTCGTGCAGAACTTCTCTCTCTCTCTCTCTTACTAAGCAGCAAATTTTGAGAAAGGCAGGGTAAATAATCTTTAAGGTAAAAATGATATGTGATGGGTTTTGGAATGTACAAGTAACACATGTGTCTTCACAGCTTGAACAAATTTGTACACATAAACCCATTTTTGAAATGAACTTCATATTATATGAATAGAAAAATGGATGCCAAAAACTCATAAAAACCTCTTTCCTCTCTTCTTTTTTCATATATATTCTCAGAAGTTGAAGAAAACACTAAATAAACAATTTGATAAAATGTACAAGCATCCAGCCATGGTTACAAATAAATGTTCCAGAGATTAAAGTTTTATGTAGAAAATCTCAACAAAATTCGATTTTTTTGATAACATATGAACTTAAGATGGGATAAAAAGCTTCTTTTTTCTTGAAACATACTAAACAAACCCGAAAACATTAGCAAAACAGGCCTGAGAAGGTCTTGTTCATAGAAAACCATGGACTAAAAAAATTTCTTAGGTCTTGTTCATAGAAAACCATGAACTAAAAAAATTTCTTGCTAACATTAACTAAAAAGAGAATAGAAGCTTATAAAGGCTTATTTTTCCCTCATCTTGCTCAATAAATCATCAAGATAAGCTGGAATAAGGTAAAACTCATAAAAACTTATGTTCTTTTTCCAAACTTCTACCCAATAAACAACAAAAATTTCTTTTCTTTTCAGACTTGCTGAAATAACACCAAAACATAAACAAAAATAAATCTAAAAGGATTTTTTTCTCATAAACGTTCTTTCCTTCTTCAGCTTGCTCAACAAGCTATCAAGATATGAGCAAGAACAGATCTGGAAAATTTTCGTTTTCCTTCTTTAAGCTTTGAAGGAAACATTATATAAACAACTTCAACATAGTTTTGCCAAGAATATCAGAAACCAAAAACAATTTCTTTTAGGAAAACAACTTGAGATAAGGTAAAACACCATGAAAACTTCATTCATTCTCAAATTGCTTGAAAAAACACCAAAATAAAAACGAAAATGGGTTAAGAACTCATAATAAATTCTTTCTTTACTACTTGCTGAAGAACCCATCAAAATATAGATGAAAATTGTATCTAAGAAAGTGTTTTGAAACTAGAGAGTTGCTCAAATGAACTAAAACAAAACATATCTAGATATCCGAGCAAAAAATGAGGCAGATCTGAAGATCTGAGCGAGAAAACTCAACAGATCAAGAGATTGAACGATGGAGAAGCATATCTGAATAGATCTTATCAATAACGAACGCATCTGATTAGATCTTGGCATGAGCCAAACAGATCTGAACAAATGATGGGTAGAAATGAACAGATCTGAGCAAACCTGATGTAAAATCCAACAGATCTGGAAAGATCTAGGAGAAAAGACGAGCTTGAAAACAACTGAGGCTTTTGCTACTTGCTCGAACCCGGGATGGCACCAAATGATGCGACATCGACCCCCGACGAGTTTTCTGGTCTTCTGCTGCGGCGAAGATCTGGACATCACAGAGCAAAGTCGTTAGAGCCGCCCCAGGGAATATGCCCCGGGAGCGGACTTCGATGATCAAGTTAGATCATTTGGTAGATCTGAGCTGGTTCTCTATAGCTGGAGAGAACCAGCTTGGTGCTGGTGGTGGTGTACGGTGGCAGACAGTGGCGGGTGGCGGCTCAGCCACCCGACCGGAGTATAGTGTGGCGGCTGAACCACTTAGGGAGAGGTCTATTGGCGGCTGAACCATGGGGAGAGGTCTATTGGCGGCTGAACCACTTAGGGAAGAGTCCCCTGGAAAGGTCCCCCTTCATGGAGGAGGCACTATTCTATTTATAGTAGACAATTAGGTCAAAGAGAATTAGGTCAGGGCTTTGGGCCAGCCCAATTCAGGCCCAACTAGCAAGGAGCTAGGCAAGGCCGCTCGGAGGCGCCGGGCGGGGCTGACGGGCGCGCCCTAGGCAAGGCTGGAAGGCGCGAACCAGGAAAGGCTGGCAGGGGAGTGTCAAGTCGGACCGGTAAGAGAGTCCCCTACACGGCTGGCAAGGGAACGTCGGGCAAGGGTGACAGGGGAACGCCAGACAGGGCAAGCAGGAGAGGCCAGGCCAGTCTGGCCCTCTAGATCAGTCTAGGCGATGCTAGTGGACCATATATCATCAAATACCCCCCCCCCCCACCCCCACCCCAGTATGATGTCATTGGTACGCGGCCAATGACATCGGACTGGACTTAGTCATATAAACCGTGCATCGTCATATATATATATATATATATGCATATGTAGATTTGTCTATGCATATGATGTATATGCATATACATATTAATATGCGTATATACATATAAATAAAAACATATGCATGTGCATATTAGTATGTATATACATACATATGCTATTATTATGCATATGCATATACTTATTTATATGCATATGCATATACTTATGAATCTGCATATTTAACATATTTATTATTATGCATATGCATATACATAATCATAATATATGTATGTAATTGTTTTATGTATATACTTATTCTTATGCATTAGCATATATATATATATATGTATATATATATATATATGTGTGTGTGTGTGTGTTTTCTCTTATGCATATAGAGGCATAAAAATCTTTTTTAAAAATATAAATGTGCATATGATATATTTTTTAAAAATATGCATATATACAAAAAAATATATGAAGAAGCATAAAAAATACATTTTTTATGAAAAAAACTTTTTTCAAATACTAATTTCGAAATGTAAGGAATATTTTTGCTGATTTAAAAAAATAAATAATTAATTAATAAAAAAACTAAAAAAAATTAGAATATATGAAAATATACCTTATATTTCGAAAATAAGATTTAAAAAAATCAGAAAAATGTATTCTTAGTACATATTTATATTTTTTATGCATATATACATTTTCCAAAAAAATATGCATATATACATGCATATAATTTTTTTTTCTAGTTTTTTTTTGCAATTCTTTTAGATATATGTATGTATATGCACATGTAAAATTTGGTAACTAAATTCATTGTAGATAAAAAATTTGTTGATTCTCTTCCTCAATTTAGTTCTCCATTGATCTTTTATATAGATATATATATATAGATATATATATATATATATATATATATATATATAGATATATATATATATATAAGGAAGGGTTATATGGAAAAAAACTCTAACAAAATCATAAAAATACATAAAAAATACTTAGAGATCACAAAACTTTTTTTTAACTTTATATATCAAAAAACCGCAGCTTCTTTAAAAATTTGCTGAACAAAAATTAAAAAATCGAACTTTTTTTGTTTTTTTTTCAAATAAAATTTCAGCAAAGTTATATCAAAAGTTACGAATTTTAAGAATATAAAGTTAAAAAAAAAATTATGGTGTTTTAAGTATTTTTTTTTTATGCATTTTTAGGGTTTTTGTTTTCCATAAAAGTTAAACACACACACACACACACACACACATATATATATATATATATATATAATATATATATATATATATATATATATATATATTATATATATGAGAGAGAGAGAGTACGGAATAAATGAGCTCCAAACTCCATAATTAGGTGACTCATGCAAATATGTTCCACTAGTCCGGATTAACTTCTGCTATAAATTAATCAAGAAAAACCTTTTAAAATAGAAAAAATATATATTTTTAACATATACTGCAGCAATTCGTTAATTAACGGGGGGAGCTAGGAGAAAGAGCAGTAGACAGTGTAGTATATTAATTAGCATTAATGGCTGCCATGGATGGTTCCAAAATCAATCAAGCGACACTGGTTTTGTTGGTGCTAGCACTTGTGGTTGGAACTTATGGCCAAACATGTCCCAACCAGCTTGCAAATCTGAACGTGTGTGCACCCTTTGTGGTTCCTGGCTCGACAGACTTGATGCCGAACTCAGACTGTTGTGGAGCTATTCAATCCATCGATCGTGACTGCCTTTGCAACACTATCCAAGTCGCAACCCGTCTCCCTACCCAGTGCAACCTCCCTGTTACTTGCGGTACGTAATTGATTGCATGCAATAAGCTTACGTTAGGTTCTCAAAGGAAATAACATATTTTTTGATGGATTGATTGCAGGAAACTAAATTAAAGTGATCAAGGAGGAGGCAGGTGTTGAACAAGTTCACTCTTTCTTTTAATGGGGTTTTATGGTGTTTTAGAATTAAGTTGTTGAGGAAAGTGTATAATGGCTGCAAGGTCAGCTTATCAACTTTAAATAAAAAATACTTCATGTTTTACCATGTTTTTGTTTAGTCAAAACTAAAATCCCGATAGATCACGTATATTGCAGGTTGATAACAAATTTGTTTGCAATTTTGTGGGGTTAATAAAATTTCGACGCTCAATTAACACTAGTACAAAAATGACCTACGGTGACACTTTTCGAAAAATGGTCTATCATACTTTTTATTAAAAATGTCACTAAAAAAATTTAGAGATTGTCTTTGGATACATTTAAATTAGTTTATGTGTCCATTATATAGATAATAAAAACTTTAACCACACTTAATTATATAAAATGTGACAATTATTAGCCACACTCGAACACTGTGGCCATATTTCACTATCAGCCACATTTATAGATTAACATTATGATACTTTTTATATAATAGACAATACATATATATCTGGTAACATGACTCAATTGTATATGTTTCTGTCATGAAATCCATTGTAGCTAACAGGGGATACATATGGCCACATTAAAATTTATGTGTCCATAGGGTAGCGTTTAGCAGTGACTAAGTAAAAGCATGAAAACAAGTTAATTTTAGTAGTTTATGGTTATGTGCCTTTTATAATGTGTGTCAAAATATGATAAATTGGGTTTGAAAAAGAAAACAAATATTGTAAGTGTAAGTTGCATTTTGTTATCTTTACAATTGTTATGTGAGTCTATAAGTAAATCTAGTTAGAATAAATATAATGTCTGATTAGTATAATTATAGTATTGTCATTGAATGTATGACTATAATTATGTAATAATCTTTCTTTTTGTCCTAGTTTGTGTATAAATTTAAAGAAGAGTCTTCATCAAAATATCATTTGTTGAATAGTCAACCATGTGACTTATATAGAGCCATTGACTCAAACCCAAACCATATAACTTATTATTAGAGCTTGTGACAGTTTTTGCAAAAAAAATGTAATAATTTTCATTTGAAGACTATTGGAATTACCTACATCAAATGATTTTTGGTTATAAATCAGTTTGACTTTTGGGACCCATTTTGGTTATATAACAATTGGAGTGATGTCAACATGTACAAAATAAATGGTTAAAGTTGCATCTAAATGGCTTGTTTAAGTCGACCAAAATACCCTCTAAAAGGGGACATAAATTGTTACTACGGCCTGTACCAATTTTTGCATCTAGAACCCCAAAAAATGTAAAAGACCATATTGCCCTTTTGTAGTAAAATACTCCCAATTTTCTTATTATATTCCATTTTAGAGTTGAAAAACCAAATCAAAACAACTCCCCATAGAGAATACCTGTAACACCATAAATTTCAAAACAAATTTTCACATTTTAAAAACATATTTCATTCATTAATATTATAAAATCCCATTGTTCACATATCAATTCGTAAGTACAACCCAAGATCACAAAGTACAAAATCTCCTCCTTGTGTGTGTACTGATCATGCCGGCGCCTTCCCGCGATCCTCACTGGTACCTGAAACACATAACACAACAACTGTAAGCATAAATGCCAGTGAGTTCCCCAAAATACCACATGCAACACATATTAGCCACTCGAGGCTATAACTCTGTGGGCCCTCTGGCCCTAACTTTGTGGACCCTCTGGTCCTAACTCTGTGGACCTTCCGGTCCTAACTCTGTAAACTCTGGCATACACACAGCATAATCACATGGTAATAATGCAGTGCAACATATCACATACATAGCATACAAGATATACGGTCACATAACTCTGGTTACCACTCAAGGTAAAGTATAGTGAGAAGACTCACCTCGGATACTCGGTGAACCTCGAACTCTGAAATACAGCACTAGCCTCCGCCTAATCACATAAATAATTACCCTAATTAATACAGCTTCTAAAGGCTACGCTAACCCCTCTCTATAAGTTCTCTAAGAAGGGTAAAAGACCATTCTACCCCTCTAATGGCTCATAAGTCCAAACATTGACTAAACCCTAAAAGTCAACGAAGTCAACTCCGGTCAATGGTCAAACTTTGACCAGACTCTTCGAGTGCACTCAGGCAACTCGGCGAGTCCATACTGGTCCTCTGAAGTCTTCTAAGCCTCGCTTGGCACGACGAGTTCCCTCTCCACTCACCGGGTTACTCAGCAACGAATCGCGGGGCAACCCCGACCCAACTCGTCGAGTCCACTTATGAACTCGATGAGTTGCTCCCATGACAACAATGAAATGACCTTCTGAGGTCAGATCCGTTTCCCTAAGCTATAGATCTGGCTTCCCCACGACCAATAACCACGTAAAGGTCGAAACTTGACCCACATGCAACGTGTACAAGGCTATCTTTGGCTAAAAGGCTTCTATAATGGAATTCTAGGCTCTTTTCTTCCTTAAGCCAACATAAAGCAGATTGGGGAAGGCTATCTAGACCTCTATGGGTCCAGTTCGGATGTCCAACACCACAAGGGACCAAGAAATCAACATAACAAGCTAAAAAGGGGTATAGAAAACCCTAGATCATAGATCTTAACCCAAAACAGCAAGGAACTCGATTTGGTACCTCAAATAGTGTAGATTTGGGCTTGAAAACTCTGGATCCACAGCTCCCTTGACCTCCTCTTGCTTGGAACAACTTCTCCTTTGCTAGAACACACTAAAATCGATTAATATGACCTCATCTCTCTATCAACTCGCTCAAGCTCTTATGGGGTACTCTCTCTGGACAGGTAGCCGCACAAGAGGGCTATAAGGTCCTTTAAATAGGACTCAGGCACAAGGAATTAGGCTTTCATTTTACAGCACGGACTCGTCGAGTCCCCCCTCCGACTCGTCGAGTCCCTTCATTAATCCAGTCATCACTCGCGACCCTACTCGACGAGTCTATGCGTCAACTCGTCGAGTCCACCCTTTAAACTCAAAAATAAAAGATAAATATAATACCTGGATATCCGGATGTTACAATACCAATAATAGCATTTAAATTTAAAATGCCCCTTTTCGACTTCTGATCACACAATTCAAAAAAACAATGAAAATTGAATGACTAAGTAGATAAATTCTATTAAATATGAATTGGCAGCATTGTGCTAGAAACAATACAATTAAAAGGATGGAAACATATACTAAAATATTATCATTATATCTAAACACCAACTTTTTAAACTAAGAAAAATAATAAGGGTAATATTGTCAATTTGGGGCCGAAACACCATACGGAGTAGTTACTAGCATGCATACTAACGCAAACTTCCAAACAAACTGCCAAGCAACATTTCTTATCTTTTATGGAAGTAACTATACTTTTTTAAACACTCGAGAGTGAAACACAAAGTATTGCATGCATCTGTCAAGACCTGCATCAAAATGGTTTATCTTTACCATAACATACTAAAAGAGTAAAAAAATACTTTAAAATAACCATAATGGTGAAGGAGGTTATATGTTTGTGGGTTGAAATTACCTTCAAATAAGATACTACTTAGAATCCTTTCACGAAAAACACTAGGATCAAGGTATGGCCTTTACCTTCTACAAACAAAAGTAAAGATTATATTAGCGCACCAGAAAAATCCAAGGGTAAAATGGTCAAGATATATGAACACACTCCTAATAGCAATCTCAACATCAAACAACAACCAGAAGCAAACTAACCAAAAATATGAAGTTTATATGAAATTTGAAATTCTCAAGGCACCAACAAAGCAACACAAAATGAATGCCATGTAGGGGTAAAATGGTCCAGGTATAGAAAAACACTCACATCAATGACATTAACATTGTAAAAAATAAGATGAGACAGTGTAATCTGCTTGAAGTTGCAGTAAATGTGTAGGAAATTTAGTATTCATCATAAATCTAAAATTAAGAATGAGACAGTGTAAATGTTTAAGAATAAGAAATCGAATGCATCAGAAATCAGAATAATGGGATGACGACATCAGATTTGAAAAAAAAAAATTCAAATTTAACAGTCTACGAAATCAAAATTGTGTTACATTGTAGAAGAACGGAATTTGCATCAAAGTAAGAAATAGAATTTAACAATCAACAAGATTTAAACTTAGATAGATTAAAAAACCATGTGGGCGATGTGGGCGGTTCGATGATTTATGTCTTTCAGTTATCAAATTCTCAAACTTCAGACTTTCATAAATCAAAGGTGATTTCAGAAACAAGAATCAACTGAGAAATAAAAATGAATCTTTGAAATTTCAGATTCGTCTAGTACGATATCTAATTTCTGAAATAAGAATCGTTGATGTAATCTGTGCAATGGTTAAGGGGTCGATTAGAGGGGAAGTAAAGAAATCGTGGCAATGTGGGATAATGGGGTTCAAAAGTTAAAAAATAATAATAGAATAATAAGAATTAAGAAATCATGAATTTTCATGTAATGAACACAAAAGATGAAACAAATGTCAGACCTCAATTTTTTTCATTCCCTGTAATATCGTAAAAGAGAGTGAGTTTCAGTCTTCTTCCTCATCAGTCTTCCTCATTCTTCGTATGTAGGTTTTTGTTGAGCTTTGTCTTACTAAGTCCATCCTAGCGAGGCGGAGTGGGCGGTGGAGCTGCAACTGACAAATAGGGGTGGTGGAGCGGTACCAACGATTTAAAAGGGGTTTATGGGTTTCAAAGGGATTTCACGGTGTTGGGTTCTCACATATTTAGAAGATATGAAATTAGGGTTGAAGCCATACAATAATACTATCGGTAAGCATGTGATCGAACATAGGGCGATGGAGTAGCGGTGGTGGACAATTGACCTAAAGGGTGGGAGAACGAGAAAGGTTTCCTAATACCCTTTTTCTTTCAACCAGAGCTTCGATCCTTGGAAATAAAAAGAAGAGGAAAAGAAGAAACAACGGGAAAGATTATGTGTGGGGAGGGAACTGAAATTTCAATTTAAGGTAGACG